CTACAGATTCGTTAGGCAATGCAAATATTTAAATTGATGTTCCATTTTAAATGGTAACACTATTTTAATATTCGGTAAAATGCAATACAGTTTTATAAAAGAGTAATTTTTATTTAATTTTTACGATTTTATCTTGGTCTATCTTACTTTAAATAAGGTTCAATTTTAAAAGCTCAACAATGACAATATCATAAGGATAGGCAGTGTTAACAAATTTTTAATACAATCATATGCTCAGAGAATGCAAAAAATGTGAATGTTCATCAGTTTATAATATCCAGGTGTCCTCCGCGATCTATAGCCTATGTGTTCTTCCGGATTATGTTCTACATCTGTGCCAAATTCCATCAAAATCCGTTGAGTTGTTCCAGATATACCTTCTAACAAACATACATCTATCTAAACTTTCTCATTTATAATATTAGTAAGATTACTATGTTTGATATTAATATAAAAATTGAAAACGAATTGTAAAGCAACTTTTTTTTTTATATCATAAGGTGGCAAACGAGCGAGCGGCCAACTAAAATCGCTGAAATAGTGAAGTGACCGTTGCCCATCGACATACGCATATGCGTTGCCTACCTTTAATCGATGCAGGAGAAGATGCACGGAAAGAAAATATTTTCCCTTTCCATGCATCCTCTCATCCGGAAAGTCTTCCACTTCACATCCTTTCTTTATAAGAAAAAGGGTGGGAAAGAAAGAGGACTAAATAAGGCCTCCGGGACGCACTTCACGGCTGTCTTCTGTGTGGTCGTAGTCTTTCACCGGACGAGCCGGGCCAATTCGTGCGACGATGAACTTGTCATTATCTCGACAGTTTATAAAATAGCGAAGTTCAGTAAGACTGAATCTATCCCTATAAAGTACAATTTTTTTATCTAAAACTTTATACAAAGCTACATTCCATTGAAGTAAATAATATCAAAGTTCATTTTGTATCTCACTATTCTGTTGCGGAATTTTTATAGTAGCAAGCGTGGCGGAGCGCTATGTATTAAATTGCGGTTACATTTTACGATTTCCAACGGTCGCGGTCACTGGGAAACTACTATCATTTTTAGAAACAAACTCGGTCACAATATTTTATTCTAAGCAAAGAATTATTGCATTTTCTATTGTCACATTTCTTGCCTATGATTACAGCGAGTTTCTAAGTTCTTCGAAGTACAAAATATTCTTATTCTTACGCTTTTTATACCTGAGAAATTATGTTGGACCTTTACAGTTAAGTAAGTAGTAGTTATAAAACCATTTTTTGTAACACTCTTCAGACGAGACTCTTAAACCAAATGTATATTATGTTCGTATTTTTTTTAAATAACTTGCTAACGTAGCTTCAAGTCGAAACTACAGTCTTATTACATATGCGCCTACTTAGAACATCGCCGACGCAGCAGTGCGTTGACTTCGCGACCCACATAATAAGTCACGAGGCGCTGAGGATGCAGTGTTCAATGTTTCATAGTTAATTTTAACAATCGATTACTTACTTACTTACTCCTCTGGCGCATCGACCCAAAGTGGGTCTTGGCCTCTGACACAAGAGATCGCCAAAGTCGCCTGTCTTGCGCCTTCTCCTGCCAGTCCATCGCTTGTAGCTCCTGCAGATCCAGCTCTACGGCGTCACGCCAGCGGTACCTGGGCCGACCGATGGGTCGGCGGCCAGTCGGGGTCCCGAGATATGCTGCTTTGGCCTTTCGATCTTCCCCCATCCTCAACCAACGATTAGGCAAACATAATTGTCAACACTTTCGGATGTGAGAGAAAAATTATGTAATAGTTTTAAAAATCTAGTTCGAAACGATGTAGATAAAAGACTTATTTACTGGCCACTAAATTTCCAACCATACAATTAATAGCCGACCATTCCGTACCGCGCTTTACGTTATGGCTGCCTTGTCGCGGAAATTTAATAGACTATTAAATAAGATATAAACTTTAACACATCATAATGTTTCTTTACTTTAATGTGCAATTACATGCACGGTTTCCACTGACGTCACACTAACACAAAAAAATATTATACCTCTGATTATATATTCCAAAAGTTCGTGAACAGGTGCAGTGAAAACCAACGGTTAATGACTAGGAAAATCTCTAACTAATTTCTATACATACTAACTTCTAACGTTTGAAACTTATAGAGGCTTAAATACTTGCAGAATATAAACAAAACTGTTATTTCATGGCCATACCTACAACTTGTACTTCGTGTACCAACATAAAAGCCGTTATGTGGTTGTTTGAATACACGCACACACACACATAGTCACACACACACAAAGAGAAGCTCAGTACAATGGAACATGTCGTGAAACGTAACAATATGTAACGTTCCATTGTTTGAATTACGATGCTTGTTAATTAAGTACTAAATGTAGTCTATACTAACTGAGCGCTTGAGAACTTTTATGGATCTTCAACTAAAGGGATAATTCAAACTTATAAACTCTTTATAATACTGTTGGTAAGACACGGGATTATTTCTATGATTAAACTGTTTGAACTCAAGCGAGGTTAGACAAAGTACATTCGCTCTGAAACGATTCCATAATGTATTTCAAAAATGCATGAAATTGGCCTGCGACAATCATATCACTTATCGAAAATTATCATCATCATCAGCTCACTATACGTCCCCACTGAGGGGCTCGAAGCCTACCCTAAGTTGGGGGAGACGAGGCCATAGTCAACCACGCTGGCCTTTTTTTTTCCAGAGAGGAATTCCTTATGCATACTCCGCGCCCCAGGGGGGACGCGGTAGTTATGTGGGATTCTCCTCCATAGCGGAGGCATACCTACTAAACCTCTCTGTTCCTCCAACGCATCGAGTCGGGGCCACGGGCACGCTTAACCACGCTGGCCTTGCGTGAAATTATTATCAGTTCTATATATTTTTAAAGTTCGATATGGAATCGCCTCGAAGCAAATGAATTTAGTCTAACCTCGCTGGTGTTTCAGCACGGTTGCATGCGCCATACATAATCAAGGGCTGAATGAGAGAAAGATTTAAATTAAATATAGAAAAAATCTTTGGAATGGAATCATCATAAGAATATTGCAGAGATTTAAAATTATGACACACATGTACATAATAATATAGAGGTGTCAGAGGGAGGGATTCATGATTAAATTGTATAAAATAATAAAAATTATATGGACTATGTATAAAAAAAATTTAAATGGACTCCTTAGGCAATTTTCTTTTTATGTTCCGGAATGGTATAGGCAGGTCCGGGTTAGATCGTAACGAGGCTATAATATTACGGGCTGAGGAATACCGCTGGATTGATGCGTTTATCATCATACAATGTTTATTACGAATAAGATTTACATGGTTTCTTTTTTGATAACTTTTTGTATGCCTATTTTACTTATAGATTTTTTGCTCGAAAAACAGTATGTGCGTTCCTATATTCATTTGATGTTGACCCTGTTTTGGCAAATACGGCTCTACCTATGTTAGTAGAAATATCACTCAATCTACTACTTCGATTAAAGATTAAGATAAAATTTTGGTGTTGAAACAAATACTCGTATATATCACAAAAAATAGATAAAAATTTGCTGTCACCCGCGACTCTGATCGCGCGAAATAAAAAAAAACATTCTACATTTATGCCAAATTTAGGCGAGATCCATGTAACCGTTCTGGAGAAACTTTCAAACATCTATCAAGATATCTAAACATTCGCATTTATAATACTAGTAAGATAAAACAACTACAGAGTTAGTTGAAATATAATTTTGAAAGATTTAAATTCAAAGTTTACTTTCATTCCGGTTTTAGAATATGTAAAATCTGTTCGTGGAATTGGCTTTTAGAGTTTCTACGTCACATATTTGGTTTTCCGGCTCGATTTAACGACCATAGCAATCTAGGAGCGAATTTCCGGAACAAAGGCTATTAAAGTGTTCTACTATAAAGGCAGCTAAAGTACAACATGGCTTTACTTCAATTACCTTGTTTCTTTATAAAACATTTTAAAACAAATTCATCTCTACACTAGAACTATAGAGATGTATTGAGTTTCATCATAAAGAAGATTAGAAATAAAAGAAAACAATAATTATAAAACAAAATGTGGCAGAGGACTAATTTTGGTCCTTTATCCTTTCTCATTGTTTTCTTGTACGGAAAAGTTGGGAAGGGGAATGAATTTGACGTAAAACAGGACGCATAGAAAGAGAAATGGACGCTTTGCGTTTCCGCCAACGTCGATTAAAGGTAGGCAACGCGTATGCAATTACTGAAGTTTATGGGCAGCGTTCGTTTCGCTATTTCGGCGAATTCAGGTGGCCGCTTACAGCCATATTTGATTAAAAAAAACAGTATGATCGAATGCTACTTCAGACTACTAATAGTATAAAGTCAGACTCCCTTTAGATTTGATTACAAAGGTAGTCAAAATGTGACAGTGCATTTGCCAAGCCAGGAAAAGGAATCTTTGTGATTTTTATGACCACAATGTGATACTTATTTAGGTTATTAAGAAATCATTTCAATTGTGTATAAATAATTGATGCCACAGAATTTAGTTATGTGAAATGGGCGTTAAAAGTAATTACGCCGTTAACGCCTTCTTGATGTCAGAGGGAATGGAAAATTTGTGATACTTGCTGAAAGTACAGTCAAAGAGATATGTTTTATATTTAATATTAATTTAAAACGTCTCAATATGTACTAGTCTTAATATGTCTAGTTTTATATTTACCTAAAATATTCTTTTTTATCTACTATTTATAGAAATATTGGAAATAGGAAAATAAAATCACAGGAAGCTGGAATATTCGTAATTGTACAATCAAAGACACATATTTAAATTTATTTACTGTACTGAAAATAAGGATGTCATGCATTGTACCTGGAGTAAGTACAGTCGAGTTTATTATTAAAACTTATTAATTTGCATATTTTCTCAACGATTGTACTTTCTTTTTTAAATAAGACGGCACTTTTAAATTTAATTCAGTACACTTCTTGATATCTAACTATGAAGTTTAATTTGAAAAAATATATGAGAAATTATACAAAAACTGTTGGAAAATGGTCAGAAGTAGATGAAATAGTCATATTGGCTTTATTTATGCAGAGAATGTTGGGTCAACAAATACTAGACAAGCAATGGACGTGGAAAAATTATTTCATTCATCAAATTATACATTTTTCTATATTTGTATACGTTTTCTTTGGTACTATACAAATTATACAAACAACAAATGATATAGAATTAGTAGCGGAAGCTTCTTACACTTTAATAATAATGACACATTTCGCTTTAAAAATCATACTATACATAAATAATAGGAATATATTCCGTAAGTTACATTTTACGGCGAAATCAACAATTATGGAAACTATAAAAACAGATTCGGAGAAAAAATTCAAAAATGTTCTTAAAATTGGATCATCAGTTCAAACGTTTATGTTTGTTATAATGTTAATTCCAGTATTGATATATCAGTTTACAACAATTTGGAATTATATTAAAGGACAGAGAACTATGTTGTCAAGGTCAACCGCACCTCTTATGCCGATGACGACTCCTTACTATGAAATATGTTGGTTATTGCACTCTTTCTTTCTATTAGAAGTTTCGACAACATTAATATTGGATATGTGGTTTATTTTATTAACCTTTTTCTTATGCAAAGCATATGAAAGTTCAATAAAAGAATTAAATGTAATAAAGAAGAAAAATGAAAGATACATTTCATATTCTTCACGTTTATCGGATTCGTTGCGTCAATTTCACTCTATTCATGTTAAACTTAATAGGTATATTTAATTGGTTAATAAATCATTGTAAAATAATTTCTAAATAAATCATTTTTGTACAATAATTTCAGGTACTTAATAGGCCTAAGAAAAATGTATAAATGGCTTGCATTAGTGCCACTAAGCAACGCAATTATGTGCACTTGTTTAAGCTTATTAATTATGAGCAAGGTATGTTATTCCTCACCTAGATTTGTTTATCACTTAAGCAATGCCTTAATGTAGAATTTTCTTACTAAATTTACACTAAGGGTCTCACTCACAAAGTAACCATTATGAATAAGACTAATTTAAGTGGTATTTAATATTTATAATTTATGTCTACATGTAATTTATGTCACTGTTACTAGGAAATCAATTGGAGGTTCGCTCCTCACATGGTTCCAATGATTGCTGAAATATTTACATACAACTGGTTTGGAGAACAATTAAAAACAAAGGTGAGATAAATTACTTACGCAATCGTTTTTCTATAAATTCATTATAACTGTCTATCGCGCCTATTGAAGGTCCTCATCATCATCACCAGCTTACTATACGTCCCCACCGAGGGGCTTGGAGCCTACCCTAAGTTAAGGGTGATTTGGCCATAGTCAACCACGCTGGCCAAGTGCGGATTGGTTGACTTCACACATATCTTTGAATTACTTCTCAGATATGTGCAGGTTGCAGGTCCTACTTTGTCCTACTTCTCTGGGTTACGGGCATGAGTTATGCTGTTGTTGTGGTGTTAGCTACCGCCCGTGACTTCGGCCTCGTGGAATTAAAAAAATCTAATTGAATATTCTAGACAATAGAGATATGAGATAAGAGATTAGAATCTGTAAAAATATCTATCCATTTTTTTTTTGCTTTTGGAATATTAAGTAAAATCTTACTCAAAATATTTACACAATTTTTGGTTGAATCTAAAGAAATTATAAACGTATATTTTTGTTATTGTTTTCAGCTGACAGAAATAAACAATGCAATACTGAACTTTGATTGGACAGGTTTAAATTTAAAAGATAAAAAATGTTATCACATTATATTGATTTGTACCCAAAATGAGTTTGGTATTCAAACAGCTGTGGGGAATGAGTTATCTTTAATTACTATGACGACGGTACGTTTATTTAAATAATTTTACTCATATTAAAATGTATTTAGATACTGTTATTTAATTATTAAATCTACGCTACGAAACTCGCTTTAATTACCGTGAGTTTCTGGGACCAAAATCTCTTTATAAAACATATCGTCTTTATCTTTGATAAAATAGAGATATGTTTAAAGGTTTTTTGGTCTTAGAAACCCACGATAAGCAAACTAATATATAGCTGGATTTCTTTTGCCAAAGATGTAATTTTTAGTATGAGTATATTGTGATCCTAATAGATTTCATTAATTACAGGTGGCTAAAGTTATTTACCAAGCATTTGCTGTTTTAAAAACAGCGGATAGTTAAATTCACACAAAATTCCTATTTCACTGAATAATTTTCTAAATGATTGCAAATTCTCACTATCCACAAATAGCTTGAAATATAGATATACACAAAATGGTACAGATGGACCCCCTGAGATCCAAAGAAGGCCCTCCAGGGGGTCTATGTTGCAGGACATAAAGTAGAAGATTTATAAGTTGCTGAAGAATTATAGATGCAGAGATTTCATAGAACAATAAGTAATATTTTGTTATTCTAAAAAAAAGTTTGGGGGTCCCAGATTTGCACAAATATATGGACGATATTTTGACACGAGATTTTCATATACAGGATGTATCTTAAATATCTTTTGATCCACTTCAAAAGTTACACACTGTATATATTTGTATTACTTTATTAGTATTAAATGCGTAGATAAACTTATACTAAGAAAATTCTTTATTTGTTTAGGACAAGCAAGTCGACTTTACTCACGTAGTATAAATACGGGCTTTAGTTTGTAACAAATATATAAACAGTAAATAAACAAGCACAAACAATTCTGTTTGCGCGACTTTTACTTACGATATTTTTCTCGCACAAATAACAACGTTAATAAATATTATAAACTATTTTAGTACACAATTTATTTAAATTCATATGTGGCTATGCTGATATCTTTGAATCGAAATAATGTAGTGTAGTAGTTTTTATGATATTTAATATTTTTTTTAGGGATTTTCTTTCTTTTGAACATGTCAGTCCCATAACATTCAATTAAGGAACTAATTGCAACTATAAGTATACAAGCAAGCGACAAAACAATAAAAAATACAAGCAATGATAATACCAAAAAGAAAAAATTATATTTACAATTTCTACAAAGCCTTTAGCATCATGCTTCTGACGCCGTCTGCTAAATTATTTTCATTTATTTGTGAAACAGTTGAAGCACTTATCCATTTGTGATTGTATTAACATAATAAACATATACGAACTCTGTTTTTATAAATTAATAAGAGAGATAATAATTTGATACGTAATTCAAGCTAAAAGCATATACGAACACTTTTAAATTGTTACAAAATATTTAACTTAGAGGTACCGTATTTGGTAAACCATTGTATGATTTCTGTACCTTTTAATGTTTTTCACGGAGAAAATCCGCTTATATCAACGATTTTTCAAGCTTTCACGTATCGGGAATGGATTTGTTAAAACGAAAATAAAAACATTAGTCATTTTGTCAACATCTTTCAATTCCAAACATTTATTTATTTATTTATTTATTAGACAAGTACACACAACAGATAAATTATGCAACATTGACCAAAGTAATACAATATACAACACAATAAAACTGATAATTTATCCAATAACAGGTGTACAACATTCATACAAAACAAACAAGTATAAAACACAAAAAAAATTATATGAACAAACCAAGGAAAGAAAACAAAAATAAAATAAAATAATAATCTAACAATATATTTAGGTCTGTGCCTCTGGAGGTGTGGAAATTAGTACGTAAATACGTTTTAAAAATTCTACGTTCAAATTAATATTCGAATGCCTTTGCATTACAAAAATCTTACTTCTTACTAGTATTATAATTATAAATGCGAATGTCCTTAACGGCTGAACGGATCTCACTGAAATTTGGCATAGATGTAGAAAGTAGAAGAACATGTTTACTCCTTATAAAGTTTTTTTTTTTTAATTCCACGCAGACGGAGTCTAGGGCGACAGTTAGTATATTTATCATATTAAACTCAAAGTTGTGGGCCTCCATTGCCGACACCCTTGACAACCAGTGTAATAGTAAAAAAGCAAATTGACAACCACTCTTATGTTAACTAGAAAAAAAAACTGCAGTAACATATGTGTTTCAGCAGTGAAAACTCATGGTAATACTCTTTTAAAAACAATGCCAAGGTCGCAGAAGGAAAATGGAGTAGAAACGAAAGGATCTTGGCTTTAGAATAATGGACTTCTCGTGTAAATAACTCCCTAAGGCAAAAGCTGAAATACAAACTCGTAATAAAAGCCTTTGCCAATTTAAAAAATACAGTATATAAATGTAGCAATGTATGCAAATGTTTATTATGTAATAATATACAAGTTTGTGTATATAATAAGTTATGTATAAATAAACAGACTTCTGCTTTTGTAACATCCTCTTTTTTTTTTGATGACATCGCCTTATTTTTAATTTTTTTTTAATTAAAATTGTATAGGCAATTTTTATTCTTGTGTATACATGCTAGTGTTCAGCCGTTCTAGAGATATCTTCAAACACCTATCCATCCATCCACATCACATCCATCTAAACATTCGCTTTTATAATATTAGTAAGTTAAATAAAAAGCATAAATAAATTCGAAAAAAAAGTGAATAAATAGCATCCTAAGTCCGTCTCCTGACTCTACGCTACTTCCTCACCAATTTTCAACCATATCGGTAAAGCCGTTCTTGAGTTATAAATAGTGTAACTAACACGACTTTCTTTTATATATATAAGATTAAACATATTTTCAAGAATCGCTTTTTTTATGAATTTATAGTTATCAAAAATTGGGAACATAAAATACGACATAGGTCATGCACACTTAATACTTTAAGCGAATGAAAATAAAATCTACAATCCAATGACAATGATCTGATAGCATTTTCCTGTAGGCAAGTTGTTGACGGCAACCAATATTTGCTATTATACGGTTGTTCAAAATGAGAATTGTTCGTTAATAAATTGATTTTTATTGCCGTTGCAAGACGTCAATAACGAGAATAAGTCCTAAATATGACATTCAGAGAAGTAAACAAAAAAATTCTTACTAGTATAAGAAATGCGAATGTTAGGGCGGATGGACGTATATTTGTTTTAAGATATCTTAAGAATGTCTTAACAGATCTTGACGAAATTTGGCATACATGTAGAACATAGTCTGGAATAACACATATGCTACTAATTAAGCTTTGTTTTAAATTACATTGGACAGTAACAATGATAACATAAATACATGTTTTAAGGGTTGAAATTGTAACAAGATCTTTTAGTATCATAACAAGAAGCAGGGTAACAAGCGAAACAATAACCCCATCATAAAGCCCTCTTGTCATTCGGGAACCTTCATTTTCAATATATCTCGGATGCCGCCAGAATCGAATATCGGCTGTAACATATTTTACGACTCCTTACGCTATGAAAGGGTCATGAGATGACTTAACGATCAATATGTCGAGGTATAACATTTGTCTTGTTATGTATAAGATAGTTTTCAAGATTATTTATGACCACCTATAGGTCAAAACTCCGCGCGGAATTTAAAAAAAAAACTTAATTAGTAGCCAATGCGTTCTATCCGACTATGTTCTACATTTATGCCAAATTTCATCAAGATTCGTTTAGCTGTTCCAGAGATAGTTGCAAACAAACAACCAACCATCCATCCAAACAATTGCATTTATAATATTAGTAACGTTTGAATATTTGCTTAGGTTCTCTTAATAATCATTACACTTCTATAAGTGTAAGGCACATTCTTATATTATAAATGCGAATGATGGATGGATGTTTGTTGGAAGATAGGTCTAGAACACCTGAACAGATTCCGATGAAATTTGGCAAATGTATATAACATAGTCTAGAAGAACACATAGGCTACTAATGATGGTTTTTTATAATTTTCGCGGACGGAGTCGCAGGCGACAGCTATTACGTTAATATTTATCGAGCAATATTTAAACGGTGTTAGGTATACAAGGGTATCCCAAGAGAGCGATAACACTAAAATGTTATGCGATGCAGATCAATTCTCTTGCGATCTATTTCGTGTCTATCGAACGATGAAACTTACTTTGCAATATAATATATAGTAGAATTTTATATTAAAAGTGCTCTTAGGATATGAATATATTTATTTATTAATAAAAATACGACATTTCAAAATAAATGTGTCATTTTATAATAGTTTTAAATTGAGATTCTAAAAGGAGGGATAGAAAGAACATAGTTTTTATTTCTGCGTAGACGGAGTCGCAGGCAAAAGATAGTTAACAAATAAATAAATATTGTTAAGTAAATATGAACTTTAGGTTTGATGATGTTGATTTTAACTTTTAAAAATCGAAACAATACAATATTTAATGGTAATATTTAAATTACAGGTCAAAGAGCGATTTATAAAAAAAAAACACAAAAAAAAATCTTCATACGAATACAGAGCACTCTCGACAAGCAATCATTTTCAATGCGACCAATAATAATTACAACTAAATTGTTCAGAAATACTTTGTTACTTGTTTAAAAGAAATTCAAAGGAAACATTTCGTTTGGCTGTTATTTTGAAGTAAACACATTTTCCAGTTTAAGTTGGGCGTCACGTATGTCCATTACATCATACCATATGTAACCGGCGTGCTGGGCTCACAGGGAGGACTACAGAATTACCTATATTAAACCACTTTTTCACTAGCACGACTTACCGTGTACAAATTTTGTCATCAATTTTCGATCATAACATATAATGCAAGTTTTAGTTGATGGTTCATCATCATCTTTATTCAGTTCCACTCTCAAGCAAATGGTGATCACGTATCACGCTTAGTGAAAACGGGGTTTAACTTTTAGAATAATACTAAGATTTTATTTTCGACTCGTCTCAGTGGAATAATAAAATAGCTGCTTTTTATGTATTAATTAATGAAGCAAACTAATGATAACAAATGGGCTTAGGGAAATCCGTGCGATTATCCAAGGAGAACGAATTAACCGCATTTTGTCCACAATTACGTAAAGTAGGAGCTCGTACATTTTTTCCACAGTAACTATTAGTTAACTTAGTAAACGTACAAAATTATTCCATTATTTATTTAATTAACAACAATTTGTTAAAGTTTTTAACCTTGACGAATGCAGAAAGTTTTAGGTATACAAACCTTTCTTATGTACCATAGTACTAGCTGTCGCCCGCGACTCCGTCCGTTCAACATAAAAAAATAGCCTATATGTTCTTCCAGACTATATACTACATCCATCCATC